ATCTAGACCAGAACTTATTCAAAAGGGTTCGAGTTCTGTTCTGGTGTTGCCACTTCCACTGATAGTCATGGACAACATGTACCCTACTTGTGGAATTATCTTGAGGGCAGGTTAAAAACAGGTGGTCAAAAAAACCTGTCCCCCCCGCCCTTGCTTTACAGCCTTCAAAATCCCTTCAGTAATTATGGTAGGAACACCTTACCCAGTGTTATGAACACATATTATGTTGTTGGCTTTTCACAAACATTAGGACGAATGTTATGGGTATAATATTAAATGACTTTGCTTTTATTTCTGCTATTTACAAAAACTTACACATAGTAGTAGTGGTAGCTGATATAGTTAGGAGTGAACTGTCTGGTCGGGATAACATCCAGTGAACATGTAATGAAGACCCTATTGATAGGTCAACTATAAGCATCTGCTGTCTGAAGAAAGTATGGACCAAGGCCCAGACTGGAAGCAATAAGGAAAAGGAGCCAAAACCACAGCCAATAAACACACATGCTCTAAAAAGGCGGACCCAAGGAGGGGCAATGTAAAATAGTTCCTGGAAAATGTCAATTAGTTTATGCATATGCATAAGGGTCTATGAATATGCAATGGGCTGATTAAATGGAAAAGGTATTTAAGGGGTATCCCCGAAGGTGAAGGTGTGATCTTGGCTAAGTGCCAAGATCCACCCAGCTGCAATCTTTGCTTTACTGTCTTTTGTCTCCTATTTTCCTTTATTAAACTTTTTAAATTTTCACAGGAGTGAACATGTTTTTTATCTCTCCCAGGATTAACACCTCGCCTCCGAGACCCCAGGGGACACAGAGAGGGGGGCACACTCCACCCCACTTTGGCGGCCTCACTCACTTCTTCTGGCGTGGATCAGTGGTTGAAGGTAGAACACCCAGTGGAAAAAAGGAGACACATAAAACAAAGAAAAAGGAAAAAGGCTCCCTAAACTGCGGTAGCCCCAAAATTCTTCTGCACAAAGACTCAAAGAAAAGAGAATTGTAAGTATTCTTGCAGGAGGGCAGGTATGGGGGGGATGAGTGTGTGTGTGAATGAGACAAGGGCTGGTTATCCCAGACCTGTGAAGTAAGTGAGGAGTCTCCCTCACTGCAGTTCCGTCTTTTCGTGAGAAAAACGGCCAGTAAAGACACAAAACAAGAGATAAAAGGAGTGAGAGAATCCCCCGGGGTAACTGGGACTAGGTTTTAGGGAAGGAGTAGGACCCCTTGGAGAGAGGGAGCCAAGGGTTTTCCTGGTACAATCCACTGGGAAAGCGGGATAAAAAGTGGAGGGGGTCCCTAGGAATTCTGCTGGATTGAGGGCTAAACATGCTCAAGAGCATCCAGGTTGAACAAAATTCCACTGGACTGAGGATATGCCCAAGAACATCTGGGGTTGGCCAATAATATTTTGAGATTTTATAATACCCGTGGGTGGATATCAATAAGTGACTTGAGAACAAAAGTACCTTATTTCTGTGTTGTCCTGTTGTAATAGTGAGTGAGACAGACATAATAAAGAAATAAAAGTGAGTGTGAATGGAGGAAAGTATATGTAATGTATGTTGTTGATTTTAGGGTTAACATTACTTTCTGGAAGGAAGTGTTTTACATTGTGGGGAGTGGGTGGTTTTCTGTGTTGTGGGGAGTGGGTAAAATTCGAGTGGTTAGGAAGCTGGAAACGGGCTAGGGACAAACAGATAGAACACTGAAAAGAAAATAAATTTTTTTAAAAAATGGGACAGAGAACTAGTAAGTCAGCTTCCGGGAAAGGAGGGAGTAAAAGGGTGCTAGCAGATGTACCCCAAGATAGTCCTCTGGGAATGATGTTAGCTAACTGGGATATTGAGCCTTGTACAAGAAAAAAGGATAAAGTAAAAAATGATTCAGTATTGTATGATAGAATGGACAAAAATGAAATAAGACCCGACCATGTTTATTGGCCTAGATATGGTTCCTTTGAGGGTTGGATTTGCCCAGCCTTAAACAGGTTTGTAAATTCTCAAGAACAATTTAATCTGGAAGAGGGAGAATATGCTGCATGCTGGACAGGAGACATGGAACCCCTGGAAATAAAAGTTTTTAAAAAAAACCCCCAAAAACAGAGCAAGAAGAAAAAAAGGAAGAAAAGGGCTGGGACCCCTTGGAAATGTTACGTCCCCCACTCCCACTAGTTCCCCCAGCTCAGGATCTTCTGGCCACCTCAGTCCCAGCCGCACCAGGGTTCCCACCTGCGGCGGGTCCTGCCGCCTCGCTTGTGGCCACTCCATCCACGCCGACACCAGCCACGCTGGACACTGCTGCTCTGGCTGCCATGGACCTCGTGCACACCATCCACGCCCCGGTTTGGTTTCCACTGGAAGACTCTGCCCCTTTGGCAGTTACGGCTATGGTCTCTGCCTCTGGCCTCCCCCCCCCACCCCGGGAGGACTCAGCCTCTCAGCCTCGGTGCTGACTCCCATCCCCAACCCCCTTTCTCTGGCAGCCCCATCCACCTCCGCCCAGGCCACAGTTCCCTGGGGAACGACAGCTCCTGCTGTTCAAGGGAACTCCCTCCTTAAAGGAGGCTACCATACCAAAATACAAGAAGCTCAGTTAAAAAGCAGCCTAATAATCTCTCCCCAGATGATTAGAGCTGATGGAATGAGAATTTGGGAAAGGGAGAATCAACAAGGTCTACCAGGGGACCAGAAAATGGCAGTTGCATGTCCTAACTGGAATCAAAATCAAGAGGCTGGGCGGGGACATATGAATGATTATTGTAATCTGATAATTAGAGGAATAAAAGACGCAGCACCCCAAGGGCAAAATGTTAAAAGGATGTTTGAGGGACAAGAGGGAAAAGAAGAAACCCCAACTGAGTGGTTAGAGAGGCTCCAAAAGAATATGAAACAATACTCTGGAATAGACCCTGAGACTATAGCAGGGCAAGCCCTATTGCGAGTTAATTTTGTCACTCATGCCTGGCCGGAAATTCAAAAAAAGCTGGAAAAAATGGAGGACTGGCATGATAAACCCTTAAATGATCTATTAAAATAAGTGCAAAGGGTTTATGTATGGAGAGCTGAAGAAAAAGCCAAAGTGGATGCAAAGATTATGATAGCCACAATGCGACAAAGTAATTTCCAGAGGAATTTAAATTCGCCAAGTACCATCCCCCAAACATTCAGGTTTTAAAGAAAGGGAAAAGGGAAGAAATAAAATCCTGGCACAATCAAAATTCCAGGAGCAATCTAGAATTGCCTGCTATTATTGTGGGGAAGAAGGGCAGTATAAGAGGGAATGCCCTCACCTAAAAAAGGATCTGAAAATTTTTCAAGCGATACACCCAGAAGAGGAATAGGGAGGTCATGGGCTCTATTTTCTGGGGGACAAATACCATCTAGAGCCTTTGATAACTTTAAAAGTGGGCCCCCAAGAGGAGGAATTAGAATTTATAGTTGATACTGGGGCAGAGAGAACTTGTGTGGTAAATATCCCTAAGGGATGTGATGTCAGTAATGACACTGAAGGTAACAGGAGCAAAAGGAGAGGGGTTTAAAGTCCCTGTCATCAAAAATGTGGTAATTGAAGGGGAAACTAGAATAGGGATGGGGGATGTCCTATTAGTTCCTGGACCAGGCAGCAACTTATTGGGGAGAGACTTAGAGGTGCAACTAGGAATAGGGGTCATACCAGAAGAAGGAAAGATGACAGGTAAAGTGTTAAAACTGGGCCAAGAAGATGAGGAAAAGATAAACAAAGAGGTTTGGGCTGGGGAAGGAAATAGGGGGAGGCTGAATATTGACCCCATAAGGGTCACGATTGAGAGAGAAGAATGTCCCATACATGTCCGTCAGTACACAATATCCTTAGAAGAAAGAGAAGGCTTAAAGCCGGTAACAGAAGAATTGATAAAAGATGGGACATTGGAACCTTGTATGTCTGGTCATAACACCCCCATTCTCCCAGTAACAAAATAGGATGGGAGTTATAGGTTACTACAGGACCTAAGGGAAGTTAACAAGAGAACTCAGACCTGTTACCCAGTGGTACCCAATCCCTATACTCTTTTAAGTAAAGTCCCACTCTTGCATCAGTGGTTTAGTGTGGTGTGGGAATATGCCCCCTGTTGACGGAGAAAACAAGTTACCCTTTGTCCCCTTAAAAAGGAAAAAAGCCCAGAAGTTTCTCTCCTCAATTTGGTTAAAAGACACCTCATAGGACCTTGGGCACTTCACCTCAAACTTAAGGATAGCTAATTGGACGGGAGCCAAAAAGTCCCGCCTAATCAATTCACTAGAAAAGACAAGAACAAAAGAAGTTAATCACTTTTGTGAAGAGGTTTAGCAGGAGCAAGAACCTCTTGCCCTGAGTCAGCTTTCTCTGTAAAGAGCTTTTTTTTTTCCTTTTATTAAACTTTTTGTTTCCAACACTGTCACAGGAGCCATCCTGCTTCTTTTATGCCACCTGAGGTAGCTGAGCTATCAAGGGTATAATGCTTATCTCTAAGAGCTTATAAGACCAAGCTCGAAAAGAGAAAAAGCATTATTTGGTGCTTGGACAGGATTTCTCATATTGAGGGACACTCTTCAGGATATTTTTTTATTGGCCCTCGATCAAAATAGGACATTTTTCCTTGGTCTGGCGTTTTGGGGAGCAGGCCTGCGACTGGGGTTTTGTGGCATCAAAAACAAAAGAAACATCCAGGTTACGGAGGATCTGAGGCCATTAGAGGGGGTCTCAGACTGAAAGCTTCGAGCTGGTGAGAAGGGGCTCAAACCGAGCTGGTGAGAAGGGGCTCAAACCGGGATGGGCTAGAGAATGTGCTGCAAAGTCCTAAGGACATCTTCAGAGAGAGATCTGAGACTGGCTGAGCCAAGGCTGAGACACTGCTGCCTTTCCAGACCCAGGGAGGAGACTAAGGACGACAGCTTGTCTGAAAACCATCATTTGGTGAGTAAGAAAGAATGGGGAACAGGCTGTCTTTAGCTGAGCAGGATCTTTTTTTTTTTTTTAACTACAAATTAGAAATTCAAGATGTAAAATTTGAGAAGAAACAGCTTAAAAAACTCATTAGATGGGTTTTCACAGAATTTCCAACTCTAAATACGTCTGAGACTCTTACCCTAAAGTTCTGGGATACTCTGGCACTTAGATTATACAGTATGGAAAAGAAGAAGTCCACCTTAAAGTTACGGCCAACATTCAGTGTTATAAATTATGACACGGGACCAATTTGTGTCATATTCCAATTGAAGAGATTTTATTAATTTAGCAAGCAAGCAATGTGTGTAAATGCAGCGCTGGGCAGCTGGGGAGTCTTCGCTCCACCAACGGCACGCAACTGATCTCTTGTTCCAGTTCTTTTTATACAGTCCCCTTTCTTGTTGACGTGGCTTTCTTAGGTCGCTCTGCGCGGACTCCAGTCTGTTGCTAGGGGGTCTTATTCTGCCTCCTGGTGGTCGCTGGGATGAAGGCTAGCAGTCTTCCTCTTTGTCCTTTTCACGACCTCTCCTTATTTGGTATATTCTGAGTTTCTTCCTGGAACTTAAGACACAGTTTCACAAACAAGCGGATCAAGCACGCATACCAAGGACGGTACATTTTTAACCACAACTTCCTTATCTCCTCCTAAGCAAATATGTTCTCAGTACACCCTGGTTCAGTGAACAAATTTTAACCATTTATTTATCTCATTCAGGACAATGTTGCAATTTGTAACGTTGGAAAGTGGAAAAACAAGCTAGAGACAGCCAAAACACACCTCCAAGCAGAGAGAGTGAGGACCGCAGGCTGCGGCAGAAAGAGAGGAGGGGAGGCAGAGATTCCGAGACCCCAATCCTGTCCCCAGCTCGCCCTGAAGCACACAGACCCCCGGGAGGGCAGGCGGGAGCCAGCACGGCCAGCCACTCCCTGTCCTGTTCATCCGTCACCCCCAAGAAAGGGACAGATGAGTCCTGGCCAGACAAGTCTGCAACCCATCTCTCCTAACCCACCTAACCTGAAAAACTCCCCTCGGTTTCCTCTGAAAAGTAACCTCAGAGGCGCAAAATCGGTGAATTTTGGTACTGTAAAGGAAAAAAGCCGAGCTGAATCCATGCTCTGTGAAAACAAAGGCACACATGGCCGGCGCCATGTTTCAGAGGTGTCGCGCTCCGCCCTTTGTGGGCGTGTCCCATCCTCAGAGTCTCAGGATTCCCTTTCCGATTTGTCACTGAGCTCCTGCCCATCAGACACAGGACACTCCCCTTTTGTGGGCCGAGCTCAGGCCACCTCCCTGCCCAAACTCCCTGCCCGCACCCCAGGACAGCAGGGCTTCAACATGACAACCATGGGAACCGGAGGTGAGCTCCCAGAAGTCACCCCATCCAAAATGGCGGCGCCCATATCGGGAGAAACTCCGATGCAAAAGAGATATTCCCACACCCCCCAAGGTTGCCCACCAGAATCTGAGGACGAGTTTTGTACATCAGGAGGCACAGACACCTGGCAGAGGATCAGAAGGGACGCAGTACAACACGGAGAATGGGAAATTACTTCTAAGCTCTCTGTCTTTCCAGTCAGATATAATGTTGGAAGTGCAGGGGGACCAGAGTGGGAAAAGATAAGATTTGCAGAAATAAAAAAGATTTGCAAAGCAGCTATGTGAAAGACAATAGCATAGTTTTTGTTCACCGGGAAAAGCCCCAGTGTGAAAGACAATAGCATAGTTTTTGTTCATCAGGAAAAGTCCCAGGGACTGTGTAAGTCACAGGAAACAGTGGGGCAGGAGGGCAGGATGTACCGCTATTAGTAGATAGTGGAATTGAGAGATCTTTGAAAGCTGCGTTACCATATTTGGAGAAGTTATTGCAGGGTTAACGCTACCTCGGAGGAAGAAGAATAGGAGCTTTCCTCAAACGACCACCGGACAGCAGAAAAAAGACCCCTAGCAACACGCCGCGCAGATGCAGAGCACGTCGAGAATATCACAAAGTCCGGAACTGAAGTGGTATAAGAACTGAAAGACCGGGAGGTGCGGTGCGAGCCGTTGGTGGGAGCAGAGGCTCCCCGGCCGCCGAGCGCTGCATTTGCCCGTACTGCTTGCTTGCTAAATTAATAAAATTCTCTTTATAAAGTGACACAAATTGGTCCCGTGTCATAATTTATAACAATATGTGGTGCCGTGACTCGGAGAGCAAAATAGCCTGGTTGTTCTGGGACCCTCGGGAGGCGCCCCGCCTTTTTTTTGGCGGCCCGATTGTCCCAGACATCCTGGTCTCTCTACTGACGAACCTAAATTAAGCTGCGGGCAAAGGAGAGCCAGTTAAAAGGAGAACTGGTTACCCCTGTAAACTTTGTGCACAAAGATCCGAGCGAAGACGCAGGATGCGTGAGTATAGGCTGGTTTCCCGCTCGGTTTGGGGTGGTTTTCCCGGAGTGTTGTGTGTGAGAGGTCTCATAGAGACCAAGTGAGTGCGGACCCTCAGTAGTGCGGTTCCCAATACCCGAGAGGGCTTGGGCCATGAACCAGGGGAGCGCGTGTGTGAAAAATTGAGTGCACTCCGGAAGATGGGACAGAGGAAAAGCAAGCCCTCTGGTCCCATGGGTGGGGGAACCCCTGCAAAGCTTCCCCAGATTCCTGAGGATAGTCCTCTAGGAGTAATGATAAATAATTGGCATGCCTTTCCCAGTAGGGGAAAGGGAAAAGATAAAGCAAAAATGATCCACTATTTTAAGGAGGTTTTGGAAAAGTTTGGACCCAAATTTGGGAGGTTTGGACCCAAATTTGGGGGATTTTAAAGAGGTTTTGGAGATTTCGAGCCGAGTTTGGAGGGTTCTGTCCCAAATCCAGGATGTTCTGACCCAAATTCGGGGAGTTTTAAGGAGATTTTAGGGGGTTCTGACCCCAAACCAGGAGCTTCTGAGCCGAATCTGGGAGGTTCTGACCCAAATTTGGGGGTTTGGAGGCAGAATTTAAAGACTTGGAGCTGAAATTTAGAGGTTTTGACACAAATCTGGGGGATTCTGACCCAAATCTGGGGAGTTGTGACCCAAATCTGGGGGGTATGGACCCAGAATTAGGAAGTTCTGACCCAAATCTGGGGGGATTTGACCCGGAGTTTGGGGGATTTTAAAGAGAAAAGGAGAATTATAAGGGAAATGGGGATGAGAACCTAGGATAATAAACATCAACAGGGACCATTAGCAGACACTAAAAGGCCCCTGCAAAATCCCCAATGGAATAACCAAGACCCGCAGCATAGGACCCATATGGACGACCTGCGGAACATAATCATACAGGGCATTAAGAGAGCCGTCCCTAGGGGACAGAATGTGCAAAAAGCCTTTAAGGTGCAGGACGAGAGGAGGAGGCAGTGAGACAGGAGAAGGAGATTCTCTCAATCCCAGCCCCGAGGACTAAAAGGCAAGTAAGGCAATTATTGGGACTATTTGGGTACTGCAGGTAGTGGATAGGAAATTTCAGTGGAAAGATAAAACTTTTATATGTGTCATGGTTTGACGCTGGCACAATGCCAGCACCCCATGAAAATGCAATTTATCAATTAAATATTGTGAAATGCAATTGAGAACAGAGTAAAGCAGGCTAAACTTAATAATAAAGGAAAAAATTTATTATACTATTCCTACTGTTACTATAAAAGGAAAAGAAAGAAAAGGAAAAAACGATACAAAATTTAAAATGAAAACTTTCTAAAATATTTCTCTTCTTATTACTTAACTCTACTAAATTATAGTGAGACTCATTTGGATCTTTAATTAAGTTTTTATCTTTTAAGATAATTAATACTGAGTTTATTGAGGAAGAGAGGAGTCCCCCTTGTATTATAGACTCTTAGGAAACACAGCTGCTACCTCTTGTGTTTTCATGTTATATGTGGCACTGCTCAGACACACTGGCTAGTGTGACACACTCTTTTTTTTATGTTACAGTGTTCTTACTACTGTGCAGGGATAGAGATTGCTTATAGGGCTCTTTTAAGGATGCTTTGCTAAGGACTATTAGGAACAATAGTCTAGTGTTTTATTTCGGGACTATAATCTCTCTCATTTTCCCCTGGGGTCGAGGGTCTAAAAACAGAGATTGCACTTTTTTTTTTTCTCTGAAGACGAAGGGCATCTTTACACTCTCTTTAGCTCTCTCCGTCTATTCTTGAACTGGTAGTTGCTGAAGGAGGTCTGTACCTTGTGATGACCGGAACCAGAGAGAGCTAATTCTCTTGGGAATTCTGCTTTTAACCCCTCTGTGTTCTCAGAGGCGTGTCTACTTTTAATTGGTTATTTTAAGTGTCAGTATCTAAACTTGACTCTTGACTGGATCGACCTCTTCTTTCTAAAAAAAAAAAAAAAACCCAAAACTTTTTCTGCTTTTTCTGTGTCAAACCATGACACTATGATAAATTGACAAAGGATTACTCAAATAGTCACAAGAAGATGAGGAACAATGAGGCCCTAAAAAGAGAATTGAGTAATGCACCTGTACTTAGCCTCCCTGATCTGAAGAGACCTTTTTATCTGTTTGTTAATGTAGATGGGGGGACGGCATATGGAGTTTTGGCTCAAGATTGGGCTGGGAGTAAGAAACCAGTAGCCTACTTATCAAAGCTTCTGGATCCTGTTAGTCGTGGGTGGCCCACCTGTTTACAGGCAATAGTGGCAGCTGCTTTGCTGGTAGAAGAAACCGGTAAGATTACCTTTGGAAGCGAGTTAAGGGTAATGTCCCCACATAACATAAGGGGAGTATTGCAGCCGAAAGCAGAAAAATGGATTACAGATGCTAGGCTTTTGAAGTATGAAGGAATCCTAATTTCATCCCCTAAATTGACACCTGAGGCCACTGCCCTCCAAAATCCTGCACAGTTTCTGTATGGTGAGCCTTGCTCAGAATTAGCACATGATTGCCTCCAGCAAATAGAAGAACAAATAAAGATTAGACCAGACCTGGAGGGGGAAGAACTGGAAACAGGGGATAAGCTGTTTGTGGATGGATCATCCAGGGTACTTGAAGGGAAAAGAAGGTCGGGATATGCTATAATTGATGGGAAAACCCTACAGGTAAAGGAATCTGGTCCCCTGAGCCCCAGCTGGTCCGCCCAGGCATGCGAATTGTATGCAGTATTAAGGGCTCTAAGATTATTAGAGGGAAAGGCGGGGACAATTTACACTGACTCAAAATATGCCTATGGTGTTGTGCACACTTTCGGGAAAATTTGGGAGGAAAGAGGTTTAATCAATTCACAGGGTAAAGGACTGCTGCATGATAAAACAGATTTTGCAGGCAATAAGGGGTCCAAAAGAGATAGCTATAGTGTACATACGGGGACACCAGAAGGGCATGGGAAACACAATCAGAGGAAATAATCTAGCTGACCAGGAGGCAAAAAGAGCGGCACTACTAACTTTAAAATATAAACCGATGAACATGCAACGGGAGAATTGTACCACCTGTGGGGGTGGTTTGGAATGTTTTTGTGAAAGCCCTGAGGAGAAATATTGCTGTTCACATGGCCCAAAATTCACTTGAACATTTACTGTTCAAGAAAAACAAAAATTGGACTGAATGGGGGTATGGGAAAAAGAGGAAGGTAAATGGATATTACCTGATGGTCGGGAGGTGTTGCCAAAAGCGATGGCATTGAGAGTATTACAGGCAATGCACGGCAAAACGCACTGGGGAACTCAAGCACTAATAGACCAATTTGCTATTAAATATATGTGTATAGGGGTATATAACCTGGCCAAGCAGGTAACCAGTCGCTGTCTAACCTGCTTAAAGGTAAATAAGCAGCAGCAAAGAGAGAGAGTGATGGGTGGTCAGAGCTGGTTCACAGACCCTTTTCTCACGTACAGGTGGATTTCACAGAGTTACCTAAAGTAGGAAGGTATAAGTACTTGCTAGTCATAGTGGATCACCTCACCCACTATGTGGAAGCCTTCCCCACAGCAAGGGCAACTGCACATGTTGTAGTAAAAATAATACTGGAAGACGTTATCCCCAGATATGGTATATTGGTGGCGGTAGACTCAGACCGGGGCCCTCACTTCACCTCGAAGGTGACAAAGGACATTTTTCATACTCTGAGAATACAGTGGAAACATCACACCCCATGGCACCCACAAAGTTCCGGAAGGGTGGAAAGGATGAATGGGGAAATTAAGAAACAATTGACTAAGTTATGTCATGGGTAAAATGCTTACCCCTCTAGCACTGTTGAACATCCGTACCCAACCTCCACTGATGTGGGGGTTTCACCCTTTGAGATGCCATATGACATTGAGGCCCCCATGAACCACCTATGTATAGAAAATTTTCAAATCAACACCTACATCACACAGATAATGAATAGGAGAGAGGAGCTCCAGAAAAAAGGGGCTGTTATTGCAGAGACCACCTTTGGACCTCCCCATTCACAAAATAAAGCCTGGGGATAAAGTACTTATTAAAACTTGGAAAGAGACCTGCCTGACCTCACGTTGGGAAGGTCCGTTTGTTGTTTTGCTTACCACAGAAACTGCTATCAGGACACCTGAGTAGGGGTGGACTCATGCGAGCCACGTCAAAGGTCCAGTCACCACAGACGACCACTGGAAAGTGACCAGCCAGCCTGGGGACTTGAAGGTTACCATTAAGAGAAACTGATGAACTCTGTATACATCATTCAAGTCAGTCACAAAGGGGAGCAAGAGGGATATAATTACCTGCTTGTTAGTGATTATTTGATAATTTGTAATAAGGTAAACTGTGATTGTTATCCTTTTGTATGCTTTGCATGTAAAGTTTGCCAAGAACGGTGGGGAGTCCAGTGCCGAAGGGGGAGGCTGCCCACTGGGGTTTGTACAGAATGTTACACGACTGAATGAGAATTAACTGAAGCTGTGTTGAAATTAGGGGAGTGGGAAATCAGTGGATTCCCTTTGAATCTGAGGAAAATTTACACCAGAGGGGTGCATCCAGAAAACTTTTGTTTCCACTCTAACGAGCCCCCTCCATTTGTTGCCCAAATTATAAAAGAGTGTTGTCGGAGGGAACTAAAGGGGGTCCCGTGTGACCCACCCCCGGTCAAGGATAAGAACTGGGAACAGTACAAGGTTAGGCAGGAGCAGGGGAATGGGCGCTCAGGCGAGTACCGCTGCTGCCGAGAAGATGGTTTACCCCATGGCTCGAAGCACCCGAGTCGGCGGGCGAGGCAGAGGGGAAAGAGCCAGGCCCCCCAAAAATAGAATAATGCTGAAATGCTCCAACTATTGCCAGCCAAGTACTAAGTTCCTCCAGAAGACCAGTCTGATTACCCCCGAGACACCAACAGGGCAACAAACCCAAAAGGGGAAAATAAGACATTATATAGTAAATGCAAGGTCAGGACTCCACCCTTATTGGCAAATTACTGGTATTACAATGTTTTTTTTACCCTATACTAAGGAGAGGGCTCCCAAGCTTTACATCAACCTTTTAAGTGGACACTAACCCGAGTGGATGGTGTGGGAATTCAGAACCAGATAACATCCAGATCCCCTAGTTTTAACCCACAGTTATGTGAACTAGCCCCTATAGAGCCTTGTTTGGATAGAAATGGATTTTATATGTGCCCAGCATCAAACCCAGGGAAAGGGTATTGCAACTACCCTGGAGAATATTTCTGTGGGCACTGGGGCTGTGAAACAATAGCTTCAGATTGGTCAGTAGCAGGAGATAAATTCCTTAAAGTATCATGGGGGCCTTATGGATATAAACCTCCACAGAAGGATTCCAGTGGTAAAATTGTGAACTCGGAGAACTGTCATTATTAAGGGAAGGCTAGAAGCATCACACCTGATGCTGATTAGAGCAAAATATGAGTCAATACCAGAAAACCTAGAAATGGAAGAGATCCTAGTTATAAACCACCAAGAATTACAAAGGTTTGATGAACAAAATGATGAAAAGACAAAAGGGGGGATTTGTGAAAGACAATAGCATAGTTTCTGTTCATCAGGAAAAGTCCCAGGGATTGTGTAAGTCACAGGAAACAGTGGGGCAGGAGGGCAGGATGTACTGCTATTAGTAGATAGTGGAATTGAGAGATCTTTGAAAGCTGCGTTACCATATTTGGAGAAGTTATTGCAGGGTTAACGCTACCTCGGAGGAAGAAGAATAGGAACTTTCCTCAAACAACCACCGGACAGCAGAAAAAAGACCCCTAGCAACACGCTGCGCAGATGCAGAGCACGTCGAGAATATCACAAAGTCCGGAACTGAAGGGGTATAAGAACTGAAAGACCGGGAGGTGCGGTGCGAGCCGTTGGGGAGAGCAGAGGCTCCCCGGCCGCCGAGCGCTGCATTTGCCCGTACTGCTTGCTTGCTAAATTAATAAAATTCTCTTTATAAAGTGACACAAATTGGTCCCGTGTCATAATTTATAACGCCCAGGAATTGTGTAAGGCGCAGGAAACAGTGGGGCAGGAAGGCAGGATGTATGGAATCAATAGACTGTGGAATTGAGAAATCTTTGCAAGCTGTGTAACAATATTTGGAGAAGTTGTTGCAGGATTAACGCTATCTCGGAGGAAGAAGAATAGGAGCTTTCCTCAAATGACCACCG